AATAAATAAAAATAGAATAATAAAAATAAAATAGATAAAAATAAAAATAAATAATAGATTAAAATAAAATAAAAATATAAAATAAAAATAGAAATAAAATTTAATTTGACCCAAAATTAAAGGATTCGGCCAAATTATCATCGTCATCATCTGATCCTGGTAACACTAATTACATAATCTATTTTTGATCCTTTATTACATGAAAACAACATGCAAATATATTCATTCTGTAATCATACAATATGCTCATATATTTCGTAAATTTGCCAGAATCTTCAAAACATCACAAATGCATTTACCCTCTCAAGAAACGAGAATATGATCAATTTTATCCATAACTGCCTTCTGCTGAACTATCTGATCCTAAAAATAGCAAAAATAGTTAAATATAAGGGCATACAAATTATTTATATAGTATATTTACACTATTCACTTACGTGGAAAATAGCCATCAACCACAAGACTGCCATATACTTTGACCTTGAATGGAAATCAAACAGCAATTCTGCTGATGCAAGCTCATATTAAAGACTAGTGCCATAAATTATGGTGATGGTAGTAATTGTATTTACAGCATATAAAAGGTGGTCACAATTACCTTTGCAACCACTTTTGCACCATACTTTTTCCTTTTTTGGATTATGGCATTAGTCTTTAGCTCATATGTAAAAAATATGCCATCTTCCTGCATGCTAAGGGCATACAATGTCATTCGATGTGCTAATGAATTAATGGTAAAAAAAAGGAGAATATAATCAGTATTTTGATTTTATACAAAACAATGCAATAAAAAACATACCTATAACTTGTGTGCTGAATGAACACTTTAACTTCTTTTGCAATTTTCACATCAAGATCAAGATGGTTACTTAGGATGCCCACCAAATTCAATATATCAATTTGTATAGACTTTTTCATGTCATTGACAGTATGGCAAATTGTAGGAGTACTGGGTGGCCCTGAAATTTCCATTTGCCATATTTCTCTGTCATCTCCAATCCAAGTCCCTTTTGTGTCAAAATAGGTATTTAAATCAGTAGCCAAACATAATAGCAATCATAGAGATTAGTGCATACCTTTGATATCCACTGGTATGATACCAGAATCAGTATTTGTTTTAATTATCTTTGCTGATCATGCATGTGCTTCTATCCAGTCAAATTCCAATGTTCTGAAAGTGGATTCATAAAACATGAACAATGGTGCAATATGGTATATAATGAATTTTTGTTCTTTGATTGACCTTGAGAGTATCAGGGAAACATCAACTAAATTATAACTTTTAAGAGTATTGTGAGCATGTAAAATACAGCTCATGATATGTCCAATATATAAATCTCCATGTATTCACACACAGCTCAGGGTTCTCAATACTCTATACCAGGCCTCTGTATCTGCACACAGCTCAGAGCCTACTCAAAAACTCTCTCTATTGCGCAATTCTCTCTCTACAGTACTAATACCAAGTACTGCTGACAAAAGCCTAGGGTAAGTAAAATAATATAGTAAATATCTTTCACTGTCCTAGCTGGAATAATCTAGCTTAAGGCAAAAGGTGCTTTTCAGCAAAGGTTTTGAAAAAAAGGTTTTATTGAGAGCTCAAGTATTTATTGTAAAAGTGTTATGTGTCTTTATTAGTGGTAATATGGTTATTACAAGGTAATTATTATGTTATTATTCTTATTATATCATGAACATGATGATTCTCACTTGGTCTAAAACCAAGCTCTTTTATACCCCTTGAGGTTTACAAATAACATGACCTTTACAATATTTTGTCCAATAAAATATGCTTATTAATTCTATTTTCTGTATTACTAGCTTACTAATTAATAATTTGAAGTAAATAATTATGTCATAAAATAAGTTAAAAATAGAAATGATGTAATGATTTACATGTGTAACATGATGTAAAGTGTGGCGCAGTTGGCACACAAAATATTAAGATAAAATAGAAAATGATGTAATTATCACGTGACTTCCACAGTAAGTTGGTTCCAATTGATCATCATGCTCAGGACCTCCTCAGTCCTTGTTTACAATCTCACAGTATCAAAGTAGTGTAATTATGCAATTTCTTTGTTTATCTCAACAACAACTTAATACTCACAATCCCATTAGTACTTTTTCATAATACAATCTAAATCTATTTTCTTCTTCTCCCTCTATTTCTTCTTGGATCACCAACTTGAATTCTTTTCCCGTTTCCTGTATATATTACATGTCAATTTGGTATAATCACATTGGATAATTCAATGAAGAAATCATATTAACTCACATCTAACACATTTGTAAAGTATTTCTCTAAACTTTTTGTCTACATGGAGGGCACTAACTTTCAGTATGAGAATATCTTATTTGCAAGATCCTTTCCTACTAGCTCCTCCAATTTGGATGCATTTATACTAGATGTGCACTAAAGACTAGTACCATAAATTATGGTGATGGTGGTAATTGTATTTATGGCATATAAAAAGTGGTCACAATTACCTTTGTGACCACTTTTGCAACCATACTTTTTCCTTTTTTGGATTATAGCACTAGTCTTTAATGTGCCACAACCTGGATTGACCCAATGTACCTAAAGATAAGAAATTATTAAAGTGGAAATACAGAAACAAATGTGATGTTTAACATGAACCCACCATTTAACTTTTTTGTGTTTGACAATTCTTTTGTTTGGCATTATTGGCATCAGAGATTGTGGTGATTGAGGTGGAGGTGTTTGTGTTTCTCTCTGGGTTCTTTGACTAATTGTATTGTTAAATGCCACATATTTCACAAATGCATTCCTAATCAACAACAAACATTTTAATTATTTTCAAAAAAGAGAAAACCATATTTCAAAAGAAATAAAATAAAATGCACCTCAGCGATTTCATTATGTTTGTGCTTCTGTCATAAATGTGTTCTTAATCTTTTGCTTTCTTGAAAAAACTTGCAACATGCATTTGAAATGGCTTGTCCTTTCCACATCTTTGATAGATGTCAAGATTAGCTTTGAAATACCATGCTTTACTAAGAAGAACTGGATAGTTACCTCTATCCAGTCAATATAATTAGAATAAAACAGCCAAATAGGATTATCTACATTCCTTTGGTTTTCAATTTGGGTCAAATTGGACAAAAAAAACTCTTTGATTGTTCAAAGTCCAAGTCTGTTTCTTCATCTATAAGCCTGCTCATAAAAGCTTCCAGACACCATTTGGACGCTGGCTCTTCAACAAAGAATTCATGTAAACCTAAGATTTCATCAGAACATTTGTATTTGAAATACTTCGAGCTCTTCAGATGTGGTTCTTTGAGAGTGTTGTCCATCAAAAAGAGTTTATATTGAAGTAAAATATATCAAATATATTTGTACTCACAACTAACTCAATTATCATTCCATAGTATGTGTCAGTGGCTTAGTAAAGTAGGTTTGTCAGGGGTAGTATCTTAAATATCCTGGGCCATTTTATTCAAATATAACATGTGAGATCACCTGCCAATTGTGGACCAATTAAATTCAGAAAAATCATCACTCCAGTTTCTTTCAACCAACTAATAATATCATCTTCCATTTGGCTAGATCCACATATAAAACACTTGAAATCATCATTAGTTTCTTTCTTCTCCTTGTCAATAACATCTCTTATAATCTATTTGCTGATTCTCTGTCTATAAACAGTTTTATTTTCTGTAATGATTTCATCTACTCAATTAGGTGGTGATAGAGATGATGATAAAGATGATAGATCACCATCTTCTCTAGTTAAGAAATATTTACAACCCAAAATATGTGACAATTGAGTTCTTATATTTTCAATTCTATTGTAAAACAAAAGCTTGTTAAACTGTCTTGCACTATATAACAATTGAATCCTATTGACAAATCCATCATCATTATCTACACCACCAATTCCTTTAATATTTTTTTCAAAAATTGATTGTAACATGCTCATCAATGGATTGATTCCAACACCACCAGCAATGAACAGAATGTTATTGGTGGATTTTTCTTTTTGTCATCCCAAACAAATTCACCACCAATTCTAACTTTGACAAAATTGCCTATTTTTGATGACTCATGAAACCATTTTGAGGGAGGATGAGATGAATATTTTATTGCTAATTCGAATAATGAGGTTTTTTTATAGTATAGTGGGGTAGATGTTATTGTAAATCCATCTGTTATTGGTATGTTTGGTATAAAAACATCCACCCATTGGCCTGGTAAAAAATCAAAATTTATTATCAAAGAAGATGATGATGATTGAGGTTTTAATAAAAAGCTTTTAACCATTGGTGTTTCTTGGGTTATTTTAATAATTTCTAATAAGATAATTGACTATTAATTTGTTTTTTTTGATTTTTGGTTTTTTATTTGATTAATTATTATTCAAATTTAAAAAAAAAAAAAAATTTAATCCATGAAAATTAAATTTACCTCTTGTCTTTCAATATACTTTGTTCTTTCAATGTGCATTGATTTTGTCCATATTAATAAATTTGCAAAGTTTAGTTTTCAAAAATAATAAATTTTGTAATCTTGTACAATATTGCAAAAAAAAATATATATATATTTTTACCTTTCTCAAAATCATTTTTTGCCAAAGGCCTTAATTTATAATTTATTGGTAAAGAATTTTGTATTTCAGAGGAGATTAATGATTGTTCAAAAAGATATCCTGGCATTTTTTTTAATAAAATGATGTGAGAATTAATTTGTATTACCTATCACTATATTTGAAGTGACGTTAGCATAATTCCATGCATTTCTTTGTTGCATATGTAATTTTTTTAATCAATCTCTAAATATTAACTCTTTTCAATAAAACCTACCAAATACAAATGAATTCTTTATAAAGTTGTTCTCTTATTTCTGATGCCTTTTTGTCTTGATCAATGTCAGTTCATCGCCTAACACAAAGTTTCTCAGTTTGTTTTGCAGTGATTATTTTGCAGAATTCATTATCTGCAAATGGTATAATTTTTTTTTGAAATATAAAACAACAATGAAAAATTGTTATTGTTACACGGTTAAGATCCGCGAATATACTACCTAAAAAAGAAAATCAGATGATGTGAATTGCATTTGGAATTTTTGTTCTTTGTTAATACAGTTCACTCTCTCTATAACGAACCCTCTGTCTCTATATGTAATTTCTCTGCTTTTGGTCGTTATAGAGAGAGAAATTAATTATAAAAAATTGAAAT